AGCATGACAGACCCAGAGCCAGACCCATTCAGCTGGGAAGACATTGTGGATATTTTCTGGGAAGAACCCCAGGTGGCCGGTAGAGATGGGACCGAGGTCTCTCCACCGGTCCTGCAGAGAATTGGGAGCCCAGTCTCCATTCCCCAGCGGCCGTGTGATTTATTGGGAATTGGGAGCCCAGTCTCCATTCCCCAGCGGGAGATATTAAAGGGAATTGGGAGCCCGAGCTCCATTCCCCAGCGGGAGATATTAAAGGGAATTGGGAGCCTGAGCTCCATTCCCCAGCGGCAGGCTGAGTTACAGGGGGCAGAGGTAGTTGTTCCTGCCCCCCAGCAGCAGAAGGAATTGCAGGGAATTGGGAGCCCGAGCTCCATTCCCCAGCGGGAGATATTGCAGGGAATTGGGAGCCTGAGCTCCATTCCCCAGCGGCAGGCTGAGTTACAGGGGGCAGAGGTAGTTGTTCCTGCCCCCCAGCAGCAGAATGAATTGCAGGGAATTGGGAGCCTGAGCTCCATTCCCCAGCGGGAGATATTGCAGGGAATTGGGAGCCTGAGCTCCATTCCCCAGCGGCAGGCTGAGTTACAGGGGGCAGAGGTAGTTGTTCCTGCCCCCCAGCAGCCAGGTGATATGCCGGAAAGGCAGTGGGAAGTCCAGGGAGAGGAGAGCAGTGTCCTCCCTCCCCAGCGGCAGCGTGATGTTTTGGGAATTGGGAGCCCAGTCTCCATTCCCCAGCGGCAGTATGATGCTTTGGGAATTGGGAGCCCAGTCTCCATTCCCCAGCGGCAGAATGATGCTTTGGGAATTGGGAGCCCAGTCTCCATTCCCCAGCGGCAGAGTGTCCCACCGGGAATAGAGAGCCCAGTCTCCTTTCCCCAGCAGCAGGACTCTGTATTGGGAGCAGAGACAGTCAGTCTCCCTCCCCCGCGGCTGGAAGTATGTATGGGAGAGGAGCTTGTTACCCCCTCTCCCCAGCGGCAGCTTAATGTACAAAGGGGAGACAGTAAGCCCCACAACTGTGCAGATGGGACCGTAGTCTCTACACTGCCAGCACAGGGGGTAGGGACGGTCGGTCCTGCCCCCCAGCGACAGGGCTGTTTAGCCAAAGGGGAGACAATCGGTCTCCCCCTCCAGCAGCAGAGATGGGAAACCAAAGGGGAGACGGTCGGTCTCCAGCAGCAGGACTGTGCATCTAAAGGGGAGACAGTCAGTCTCCAGCAGCAGCAGCAGAGCGGTGTATTTAAAGGGGAGACAGTCGGTCTCCCCCTCCAACAACTAGGCTTCCACCAGGCTACCCTCCCAGTAGCGCTGGCAACAGGGCAGAGTGCCGCTGGTCTCTGCCCACGCAGCAACCCACCAAGTCAGCGTACCCGTACCCAGCACAGCCGTGGTGAGGCACCTGGACATGGACAAGCTTTTTCTCTACCCAGGTGTAGTAACCATTTATTGTGGGTGGGCTGTGCTGTTTATTATTTGTTGTGGGTGGGCTGCTGGACTAACAAGGGCACTGACCGGCAGGAGGTCAGATACCCTGTTAGTCTGTTGGGAAAAGGGGAGAGATGTGACGAGACCAATCTCGCCACATTGCATTGGAGAAGCCTGGTTGCTCGCCTGCTGCCTTTGGACTATGGCCCCTTTTAAAAGACTTTATTTTTGCATGCAGAAAAGCTGTATTCGTGCTTTTCTGCCGGTTGTTCGGTAGTTTCAATCTACCGAACAACCGTACGAATGACTGGACCACCTGGGAGCTGGAGTGTGCCGGAAATTAACCTCCCTGAAGCTGCGGTTAACCGCAGCTTAATTGATGAACGCTGGGTGGCCGCCGTTCGTATCCCGAACACGAGGTCGCGGCCATTTTAAACCATACTAATGAACAGCGGTGTTCGCCTCTATTTTCATGGAACTAAAATCGGACACAGTTTTGCGCGAACACCGCTGAAGCCGCCGACCTCCCTTCTTGTTCGGTGAAAGCACACGAATGACCCGGTGTTCGGTATTTTTGTGTGAATATCTTATACCCCAGATAGGAATCCCATGGAGCCCATTCGTATGAAACTGACTGTAAAGACTTTGGCTCCATGGCGATTGAACTGCATTCGTGTAGTCTGAGTGCCATTCACCTAATAATGTGCACTCAGACCTGAGCTATCTGGGGATGTGTTACATGTCTGTGGTTTAATGTAGTAAATGTTACTTTGTGTATTTTAAAGTATAATGCTGTTTTGTGTTCCCACGTGTGTAATGGAGTTTTGCCTTTGTCTTGGGAGATAATTGAATTACTTCCCAATTATCTCCCAGGGCAGAGGGGAGGAAGCCAGGATGCATTGTGGGAATATACTGTGACTGTGTGTCCTTTTTGTATACTTGTCTGTCCCTTGTCACAGTCTCCCATTTGGTCCCCTAGGGGAGTGTCCACCAGGTGGGAGACCTGCATAAAAGCTGGGCAGGTAGCCCTCATTAAACAGACCACTGCTTGACCCTCAACACGGAGCCTTGTCTCGTCTTTGGGGGGATTTACTGTATGCTGCTAAGGACTGATTGCCAGGAGTGTAAGCCGCTTGGAAGCTTTTCCTGTTCGCCTGCTAGCAGCTATTCGTATGGTTCCTGTTCGTTTATTTGAAGTGCTACCTTATTCCCTTGTATGCCGTTCGGGAGTTTGGAGCATTCACTTATTGGCGGTTCGTGAGTTTTGGTGATTATTCAGTAGCTGTGCCTGTCTCCGAAAGGGGATTATCGTCTAAGCGGTTTTTTCCCCTTTTGTGCAAAACGGTCCGTTACAACCTCCCACAGAGGAAAGCTTGTCCTTGCCTCTGGGCAGCTTGGCACACATTAGCAACTACATACTGCAGTGCCTGCACAACAACTGCGGAGTTGCCCACATTCTAACTTATACTGATTACTGGGTGGCCACCCTGCTGGATCCCCATTAAAGGACAACGTGCCGTCCTTAATTCCCTCACTGGAGCGTGATTGGAAGATGCGCGACTACAAGCGCACGCTGGTAGATGCGCTGCTGAGGGTATTCCCAACTGACATTGGGGGCTCAGTGGAAGCACAAGGCGAAGGCAGAGGAGGAGGAAGAGGTCGCCAACGCAGCTGCGGCACCGCCAGCACCTCAGAAGACAGGGTTAGCATGGCCAAAATGTGGAAAAGCTTTGTCAGCACGCCACAACAACCAGCACCACCATCTGATATGAAACGTCTTAGCAGGAGGCAGCATTTCAGCAACATGGTGGAACAGTATGTGTGCACACGCCTACACGTACTGACTGATGGGTCTGCCCCATTCAACTTCTGGGTCTCCAAATTGGGCACGTGGCCTGAGCTTGCCTTGGAGGTGCTGGCCTGCCCTGCAGCCAGTGTATTGTCTGAACGTGTGTTTAGCACGGCAGGGGGCGTTATCACAGACAAGCACAGCCACCTGTCCACAGCCAACATGGACAAGCTCAAGTTTATTCAAATGAACCAAGCATGGATCCCACCAGACTTGTCTGTACCTTGTGCAGAATAGACATTTATACCAGCCTCACGTAGCCATTGTTATATTCGAGTGCACTTATTTTTTGTTTTCTTTTTTTTTATGTCCCAATATTTTGTGGGCTACCCCAATAAAAAAACAAAAAGAAAAAACAGTGTTGGCTACCTCCTCCACCGCTACTTCCACCTACACCGCCACGGTGTATACCCAGATTTATCAGAGCTGCCGCAGAAAGTGCGGGCCAATTGGCGCGCTTTTGGCGTTCTCACCCTGCTGCTGCTCGCCTGTCTGCGCTGCAGTGTAACTTCAGCCTTCCCGCTCACCGCCTCATCAGACTGTGCGAGCAGCAGCAGGCGATAGTATAGTTTCAGCTGCAGCACGCAGGGGTCAGTCGCTCTGCTGAACACAGTTTTCTTTTTTATATGTCCCAATATTTTGTGGGCTACCCCAATAAAAAAACAAACAAAAAAACCAGTGTTGGCTATCTCCTCCATCACTGCTTCCACTTACACCGCCACGGTCACCACTTCCTCAACCTATGGGTCACTTAGTATAAACTATGTACACATTAGCAGAGGCTTTTCTCTATGCATCAGGACTGCAAGAAATGCACTGCAGGCTGCAAATGTTTCTTTTTTTTATATGTCCCAATGTGGGTGTCCGTATTCAGTATAAGGTGTGCGTGGCTACATTGCATTGGAGAAGCCTGGTTGCTCGCCTGTTGCCTTTGGATTATGGCCCCATGTTAAAAGGCTTGATTTTCCCCTGCAAAGACAAGAAAGCCGGGTCATTTGGTGCTTGCCCTGTTTGAGCAGTGATACCCCAGATAGCTATGCCATGGAGCCCATTCGTATAATGAAAGACTATGGGAAAGACTTTGGCTCCATGGCAATTGAACTGTATGTGTGTGCTCTGAGCGCCATTCAGTAATAATGTGCGCTTAGACCTAAGCTATCTGGGTATATGTTGCATGTCTGTATTTTATGTCATAAATGTAACCTTGTGTATTTTATTGTATTTTACTGTCTTTTTGCTGCTATGTGTTCAATGGAGTTTTGCCTCTGTCTTTGGAGATAATTGGATTAC